GCAGCGGCTGAATCTGGACGCCAGTTCCGACTTACATACAGATTCAACTTAAGAACAAACCTACAGTCCCTATCTTGTACGTAACCCGGGGACTGCCTGTATATCAGAAACAGCAACTCTAGCTTGATTAGTCTGGACTATATAAAATTGTTGGAAGCATTTAATCTGCCACAGATCAAAGTCTGCTCAGAAGGAAAGTGACCAATATTTTTAAAAATTGGATGTCTACAATTAGGTTCCTAAGTACAAAGATAGGTGGATAAATAAATGGCGAGGTACGTGAAAGTGGTGAGCATTTCATTGCCCCATTAATTTCAATAGGCCGGATGGGAATGGAGCACTTTTGACAGTCAGGTATCTGGTTTTAAAGCCTAGCTTTAGGTACTGATTTTATAAAATGTCAGTTAGCAAGTATGTGTATATGTGTACGGAGATAGGAATTGTCATATTGGATTAGACCAGTAATCCATCTATTCCAGTGTCCTGTTGTGATATTAATAACAGCACAAGGGCCAATGTATTTAGATATCTGGTAATGAATTGCAGCTGGCTTCACCAATTAACATGTATCCCAGTTCTTTAATGTTGGGAAATACATGTGATAGGTGTCATACAAGGTGTTGATGAAAAGCACATGACTCATGAGTTATTAAATTTATTGTATACTGTAGATGCAAGCAGCTGATGCAAAGGTATGGAAAGAAGCTGACATTTTAGTTCTTAAAATGTGTTTGCCCACCAAGACGTAGAAACAGTTGAAAAGGAAAAATTAGTAGCATTCACTCACTCCGTTTGTCCATGCTTGACCAGTTTTTTTCAGCCGAAGATATTAAAGAACCATTGTTGATCCCACAAATACCAGCCATTAGTAATCATTACCAAGTCTCCTCTCTGTTGTTTATTAAAGAACTTTGTGGAGCAGCAAGTTTAAAGAGGCTTTTATTATTTATGGTATCTATAAATGATATTATTACAGCTTTTAGGACTGTAAAAGTACACTTTTATGTGGCTGACGTAGCTTACTAAATCTTAAAATTAATTTACAGTCTAACTTGCAATCCTGGCAAAAATGAAATTGGCTTTCTATAGGGGAGGACTAACATCTCCACTATAAGACCTAATCAGTGATTTATTTATAGTTGAGGTGAGAGAGCCTGGTAAATTATGCCACTCTGAACATATTCTTCTGAGGCAGCGAATGTATTGTTCTCTTCCTTTCTGCGTTTTGTTCTAACTGGGATTTTCTCAGATTTCGGCCACATCTAGACATTGCTTGAACATAACAATACCTCCAAGGATATGTCTAGGCTACAGTCTTTTGTTGACAGAAGTTTTGTCAACAAATACTGTCGACAAAGCTTCTGTCGACAAAGAGTGTCTAGACTGCATCCAGTTCTGTCGACAAAGCAAGCCGCTTTGTAGACATGACAGTGTAGATGCAATAACACCTTCTGTCGACAGAACTCTGTCAACAAAAGGCGTTATTCCTCGTAGAATCAGATTTACAGCTGTTGACAAAACTGCTGAGTTCTGTCGACATTATATTGACAGAACTCAGTGGCAGTGTAGACGCAGGTATAGTTTTGTTGACAAAAGTCCACTTTTGTTGACAAAACCCTGTAGTCTAGACACACCCCAAGTGTTAGAGGATTCCGCACAATCTAATGATCAGGAAACACTGGACTAAGAGTCTACTGACTTTAGTTCTATTCCTGAACCGGATCTTGGGCAAGCTATTTCACCTCCTACAATTTGTCTCTTTTGACTCTAATTTCTTTTGGGGATGGACTTTCTTATTATGTGTTTGTTTAGTGCATAGCATAAAGGGCATCTAATCTCATTTGGGGTCTCCTAGGTGCTGTTGTAATACAAATAATAAATTCACACAGTCATAGAATTAAGGTCAGAAGGGACCATCATAATCTTCTTTATTCTGCATGCTACAGGCTACAGAACCTCACCTGCCGTCTTCTGTGGTAGACCCATAACTCTGGCTGAGTTACTGAAGCTTCAGATTATGATTTAAAGACTTCAAGTTACAAAGAATCCATCATTTACTCTAGTTCCAACCAGCAAATGCCCTGTGCTCCATGCTGCAGAGGAAGGGAGTAACCCCCCAGGGTCTCTGCCATTCTGAGGAAAAATTCTTCTGGACCCCAAATATGGCGATCAGTTAGTTGCAGATCATGTGGGCAAAACCCAGCAATCAGACACTTGGGAAAGAATTTACTGCAGTAACTAAGATCCCTTCCCTTCCCCTCCCCCTCTAGTGGCCCATATCTGGCTGTTTCCTACAATCTATGGTAGACAACCAACTGTAGCATACCATCCATTCCATAAACTTACCAAGCTTAATCTTGAAACCAGTTAGATTTTTTTAAAATAATGTAATAATAATACAATAGAGGCTTTAATATTATAATTCTTCTCGGTTTATAAACATCAACGCATCAAGTTGAACGACTAAATCTTTATGGGCCCAAATAACCATATTAGGCACCTACTAAATAATTTAGGTACCTAAATATGGTACCCAATATCATAAATAGAGAGGCTTTCTCTTCCCATTAGGGTCCCTGCTGACAAATAAGCAGTTTGGTGGGGTCCAACTAGAAGAAGACGCACCATCATTTTCGTGAAAAAATTCACAAGCATGAACAATTTTGAAAGACGTCTGCTGGTACCTTAAAATTGGTTTAGTGTGTGAAATTCAACTTATTTCTCACTTTAATGTGCTAAGAGTCTAAGCAATGTCTGATTGTGTTATACCCCTGAAATACACATGAAAAGGATGTGATAGACCTCAAGGAAATGGATATGCTATAATCAAAGGAGAAATCACCAAATCATTCTTCTTGCAGTGCTCATACAGAGAAGACATACACACTTTCCATTTGATTCAGCAGTTCCGAAAACCACTAGTTCTGTAAAATAGCTTTTACACAGGAAAGTGTCCGTCTAGGGCAGGAGAGCTGCCAGCCTGGCCACCCAGGAGCAGGTATGCATGAAAATCAAGGGGGTCCACTGAGACCCCCGACCCTGAGCCCTGAGCTTACAATGGCCGTCCTGGGTCAGACCAAAGGTCCATCTAGCCCAGTAGCCTGTCTGCCGACAGCGGCCAACCCTAGGGACCCTGGAGGGGATGGACCAAAGACCGTGACCAAGGCATTTGTCGTCTCGTGCCATTCCTCTCCAGCCTTCCACAAACTTTGGGCAGGGACACCACTCCTACCCCCTGGCTAAGACTACTCCATGGACCCAACCTCCATGACTTGATCTCACTTCCCTTTAAACTCTGTTCTAGTTGTAGCCTTCACAGCCTCCTGCAGCAAGGAGTTCCACAGGTTAACTATTTGCTTTGTCAAGAACAACTTTCTCTTACTAGTTTCAAGCCTGCTACCCATTCCTTTCCTTTGGTGTCCTCTAGTCCTTCTTTATGGGAACTCAGGAAGAACTTTTCTGAATGCACCCTCTCCACCCAACCCCTGCTTTTAGAGACCTCTATCCTGTCCCCCCTCCGTCTCCTCTTTTCTAAGCTGAAAAGTCCCAGTCTCT